CCTCACCTCCCCCAACTCCCCTCATTCCCCAAAGAAAGAAAGCAGACTGCCTGCGGACTTTTTTTGAAAATAAGACTCAGGCACATTTTCTTTCTTTCTCTTTTATTTATTTCCTTTTCAAAGCAGAGGATGGAGCACGGGGGGCATTATGCGACTTTTGCACCAGAGCAGAGTAGAAGGGGAAGAGAAGAGAGAGTCGAGCAGGTGCTCACACCAAGGAGATGATTATTTATTTATTTGCATGTTTGTTTATTTGCGGGTAAATATCTGTGAATAATTGATGCAACACTAAGCCCAATAATTACTCTGTACCGACATCCGAAGAGAGGCCAGAGATTTGTTTCTTGATATTTGGCGCCAACCAGTGTATGAATGTGTTATTGATTGCAAAAAAAAAAAAAAAAAAAATCCTGGAAAAAGTTCTAGAGAATCGAACAAATCGAAGCTTTAATGGTTCATCTGAGTCTTCAGGAACACAAGTCGTGATCGTTTTATATCCCAGCTCTAGATGGTACAAAATGAAAAAAACAACAGGCGGGGTGTAGGGCTGTAGGAGACATCAGGTTTGGTAATGAGGAGGACCCTCAGCCTGCCTCCGAGCGCTCCCATCCCATCATCCCCTCCGGCATAGATTTGTTGTTTCCAAAGGTACAAACTGCAGGGGAAACTGGGGGTTTTCTACTCATTAAAGGAAACAAGCCTGGAGTTAGTTCAATTACATGAAGTATGCAGGGATGTTGTAAATTTAAAGATTTAAATAGCTTACAAAGTGGCCCCGGGCCCCGTCAGTTAATTTCCTTAATTTATGGATTTTAGCGGAGTATCTTTGTGGAAGTGAAGAACTAGGTCATCCTTAGGAATTGAACAGAGTTTTGGTTTTTCACAACAAATCCAAACATCTGTGTTTCCTGACCAAAAAAAAAAGTTTGTCTCAAACTAAATGTTTCAGTTGAATCCGATGATAGCCTCTTAACATTTGTACTACGTTTTGAAAAGATCAAAAGTCAAAATACAAAGGTCTTTCTCACTGTGTAAATATGTAAATACATGCGGTCGACACAGTGTGTTACTGTATTTCCTAACTCAGAAATGTTCTGTGCGCACGTTTACTTTCACATACAATGAAGTCGTTGTTTAGCGACATATTGTTTCATTCATTCATTAACCATTAGCACAATTTAACGCTTCATTATACACAGAGCCACTGTTTTTACTGCATGGTGAATCAGTCTGATGCATTCAGGTCAGAGTCTGACACTGAAGAGTCAGATGGGCTTTTTCTTCAGTTATGTTTATTATATTGTCATAGTACTGGTTTGCAGCTGCACTGAGCAAATATGTTCTGTATGTACAAATACTACACTGTATGGTTGAGTACACGATCATTTACAGAGCATGGTGTTTTGGTAACTCTGACAATTTGAAGTGCAGTGAAAAAGAAGAATGTCAGAATCATTACACCTCCTAAGATGGAGATAAAGGTCAAAGTGTCAAGACATGTTAAGAAAATGTCAAAAAAAATTGAACTCAATTTTGAACTCGAGTTAAACCTTCAAATATCCACATTTCATTAGATTAGACTCTTCCAAATGTAAACATAAAAACTTGATGGAACATCAAATGTATAATATTATGAATAAAATGAATTACTGCCTTTGGTAAGAGGATAAACACAAGCAAAGTGCACACAACATTTGAGTTGTAACTAACTAAGTTCATTTGGACTTTGCTTGGAAGGAGGAGAAAAATAAATCAAATCAATGATCAAGTATCACTGACTGGAGCTAGAAATATTATTAAAAAGTAAAATTCCCTGTTTCTTAAAGAAGTTCAATCCAGACTAAGGACTGTAGGGATTACTGGAAAGAAGACGGTGCATATCAACTGAACAGACGAGAGAAACATGATTGTTTAAAAAAAAAAAAAAAAAAGGTGCTCGTGTTTAGATAATACACAGAACAAAATCCACATGGTAAAAGATGGGAGTGAGAATTTAATATTATGGGATGTATGGATGAATGACTTCCATATGTAAAGTAAAATGTTCCAAAATGAATTTGTTCAGAGAGAAATCACTTGATGTTCTTTAGGTTAACTGTTTTTGGGAGGCTAAAACATGTTTATCTTCAATTATATCAATTCAAATATATATACGTATGACATACAGTATGTCTAAATATTTTGGGACATGAGGCAGAAAAAGACTTCCAGCAGTGACTTTCTCATGTCATATTGTAAGTTATCTTTCTCATTAGACCTCACTGGATCTTCCAGGACCTTCCACTTCACTTCCAGGAGAATCAGGGCCACAGAACAACCGTGCTTCTTCATACGTGACCTGCTCACTGTGAACACACCGAGGTGAGAAACAGCTGCTGCAATACAGTCACATCCAGCCCTCTGAATGTGAGCACTGGTAAGACTCTCTTTCAAGCATTTCACATCACATCAGCACCCTTCTTTCCCCTCAGGCACGTGGAGAAAGTTTGAGGGGAACATTCAGAACTTGCTTTTACTAATCTGCATGCCTGGTGGAGCCCGGTTGCTGTCAATCGCTCCGTTCTTGCAGCCATTTGACATTCCGCTTGATGTTGGTGTGTGTCTGAGGTGGAGCAGCGACACTTATTGTTCATTATTTCAAAAAGAGGGGGAGGAAAAGAGGGAGAGCGAGGGAGAAATGGAGAAAGAGGGAGAAGGGGATCGAGGGGTAAGAGGGTGTCGGTTTATTAATAGACCGTGTGGTGCTGTGTTGCACACAAACACCTAACAAGCACTGTGAAGAATTGCCTCAAGTGCATAATACCAGCAATTAAGTTTCTGAAATAGCTCTATACAAAGTGAGAGCTTGTGGGATTTTTTTTGAGAGTCAGTTGGAATTGAACAGGTAAAACTGCAGCGCTGGTGTTTCTGTCAAGTGATTCTGAGCTCGTCACTGCTTTGGTCATTTTTCTGGATGTGTAACACATGACCCCAATGACCTTTTAATTACTGGACTGCTGTTACAGTATTGAAATGTGACTGGACACTTAGGAATGTGTTCAAGGACAAAAACAACGATCAAGGTCACAGCGTCAAGATATGTTCTTCTAACGTTCTTCCTTCTTCGTGGTTTACTCCAGTGTTAATAGATGACCAGTTACTCACACACTGACGCACAGCTCCGTCACATTTGCATACTCTGGGTTTCACTGTGTTTGTTTTTCAGTTTAAACAACATCTCCTTGGTCAACTGGTTCTAGACGTGTCTCCTCTGACCAGTAGGTTTTGGTCGTGTTTGAAGGTGTCTCTTGGGCATTTGAGGTTTTGAACCTGTCACCCTATACATTTAATTTCATACTGGACTAATAGAGAAACCCCTGCTACACTGCTGTGGTAACAGGGGTTCCTTAGATCATGTCCTCCTCTTTGAATTCTCTATAAATAGATACATATTTGAGGGGACCATGGTAGTATTAGGTTTAGGAGAAAAAAACAATAAAATACAATAAATATTATGTCAAAAAATGTTTTTGCTTCTTCTTAGAAGAAACAATACATTTACAATACAGGATCAAATGTCATTATTGAAATTATCTGGACGTGTTACGCAAAATAGAAGAAAACGCTTCAACTTTCTCAGCC